TTTTACATATTAGGCTGATACCGTCCACTTTGAGTTGAGCAAAGGATCCCTGGACAAAAAAGAAAAAAAAGTTTGAAACTAGACAGAGAAAATTTAGGGTCCTTCCCAGCTCTAGAATTTCCAAACCCACTTTGAGGTTTGAGGGTCTTTTTGCAGAGGGGTGGCCTACCTGTCATCAAGGGAGGCTTTGTCCAGGTGGCCTGATCTGCTATGGCCATGCTCTGTGATCCTGAACTCTACTCTCTGCATTGGAGAAAAAAAGATGGTGGTGGTGGTGATGGTGATGGTGATGATGGTGGTGGTGATGATGATGATAATGGTGATGGTGATGATGGTGATGATGATAATGGTGATGGTGATGGTGATGATGGTGGTGATGATGATGATATTGATGATGATGGTGATGATGATGATAATGGTGATGGTGATGATGGTGATGATGATAATGGTGATGGTGATGGTGATGGTGATGGTGGTGATGGTGATGATGGTGATAATGATGTTGGTGATGATGATGATGATATTGATGATGATGATAGTGATGATAATGATGATGGTGGTGATGGTGATGATGATTATAATGGTGATGATGATGGTGATATTGATAATGATGATGGTGATGATGATAATGGTGATGGTGATGATAGTGGTGATGATGGTGGTAGTGGTGGTGGTGGTGGTGGTGGTAGCCATGACAATAATTTCAGGACTAACCTTTTTGTGTGGACCCACATGCCCTAGCTTAAGCAACCAACATGGACTCTCTCATTGAGCCCCAAGCCTAGTGATGCAGGTGCAGAAGTGCCCTCATTTGCTCCTGATTCATTAACAGGTGTTTATTGAGCTCCTACCATGAGAGCAATCCTTGTTCTCATGGAGCTTACAATCTAGAATGGAAACAATAATAAAAATCATAAATAAGTGTGACAGGAAGATCGAGGGGAAGGGATGGTGAGTGGGGGGCTGTGGTGGGGCTTGCAGTAGAAAACCTGGTGCTCAGGAAAGGCGTCAGGAGAAGGCCAGATCTGAGCACAGACTTGAAGGAGCCAAGTGCGTACCTGAGCCAAATGCTCCTGGCAGAGGGAACAGCCACTGCAAAGGCCTTAGGGGGGGTGTGCCCCTACCAAGTGTTTGAGGAGCAGTGTGGGATCAGTGTGACTATAGTAGAGTAAGTGAGGAGGGCAGTGACAGATGAGTCATGCTCACGACCCTCCAGCAGAGCCCAAGGACCACGTTGGGCTCTATGGTTCAGAGCAGGGATCTGGGCTTTTACCTTGAGTTAGATAGAACCTCTGGGGGCTGGTATTTGGGGCAGAGAAGTGACACGCAGGGATTGCTCTAGAAGGGGAAGGGGGAGGAAGTGAGGAGTGGTCAGATTAGGGACACATCCTGGAGGTAGAATAGACAGGAAGAGCTGAAGGGCTGGAGGGAACACCAGAGGAAGGAAGTTGTCAGGGGTGGTCACTCCAGGTGTTGGAGGGAATGACGGCAAGGGGGCATTCCCATTTTCCAAGATGGGGAAATACGGAGATTAGATGCCTATCAGCAGCGGGGCAGAGATAGCCAGTAAGAAGTAGGGTACGAGACTGGGGGTCATGGTATTTGCCATGGTACACATGGTAGTTGTGTTTGTGATCCCCAAGGAGGTGGGTGTGGACAGAAGAGATGAAGACAGGGCCCCCGGGGGTTAGAGGCAAGCAGGGGAGAGGGAGCAGTAGTGGGTGAAGAGGGCCACAGCCAGGAGGCAGGAAGGGGGCCAGGAGCGTGGAGACCCCACAAAGAGGGAGCGATTGGCTTGTGATGTGAGCCCAAGAAGAGAAGCCCAAGAAGTGACACTGGATTTAGCAACGAGAGGCCATCCTGACATTGATGAGAGTGGTTACGGTAGGATCATGGGGACTAATCCTGCCTGTGGTGGGCTCGGGACAGACTGGAAAGAGTGGAAAGGGGGTCAGCCTGCCTTCGCAGATGTGACCCGGCAACTCTTTCAAGGAGCTTCGCTCTGATGGGCCACCCAGGACACAGACGTGCAGGGGCATGGGACGTGGCCAGGGTTTTCATGGTTGGTTGTTTTAAGGTGGGAGAAACTTGAACATATGTATAGGCTGTTGAGGATAACCCAGGAAAAGAGGGGGAAACTGATGACGCAGAGGGAAGGGGGAAGAATTTCTGGAACAGTGTGTTTAGTGGGCGAGAGGGGCCAGAATTGGAGGCTCAACTTGGCGGTTGGCCTTAAATAGGCTACAAACAAAGAAACTGAGGTCCAGAGAGGTGAAGGGATTTGCCCAAGGAGTCTTGCAGGGCAAAGCAGTCCGATGCCCCAGGGCCTGCTTCTGTCACTACCGGAGGTCCTTGATTTCCCCATTCAGAGTCGGACCCCAAGGCTAAGGGAGGATGTCAGGGAGGGCCCATGGGGCTCCCCACACCCAGGCCAGGGTGGGACTCAGAGGCAGCGGCTGGGGCCCCAGCCTCCTTTCTGCTCAGTCAGCTCCCTTCACCAGCCTCTCGGGGCCAGAGGAATCCCGAAATTCCAGGGCCGGTGGGGCCTCAAGAGTCCCCAGAGTCCCCGGAGAAAATGGCCAGTACTCTGTTGGATTGAGTGTATCCAACGAAACTCAAACTGGGCATTTGAGTGGGTGTGCCACAGCCCGGACTGTTCACTGTGGGACACGGACGTGAGGACACACTGCTGTCACTCACCCCCCCACACACCCCCAGGCTTCTGCTTGAAGGAAGGGGGCACCAGTTCCCAGCCTTGGCTTGGGAGTAAGGCCCAGTGAGGGCTGCAAACAGTCAGTGACACGTACCTGGCCTGCCCAGCCTCCAGCCACGAGGGAGGACCTGTCTGGGGATTTCAGTTTGCGTTTGTGGAGTTGTGACATGGGTATAGTACACATGCTGTGTGTGTTCATGGATGAGCTTGCATCTGTGTTGTCCACAGACACGTATACTAGTCAGCCTGGGTGCGGTACTCCCGAGGGACAAGAGGGACATTCTGTGGCCTGCGGGAGCCAATCATTATTTTTCTCATGGCTGGGTCTGCAGTCAGCTCGGGTTCAGCAGATCTCTGCTTGGTTTGGTCAGGCGTGGCTCCTGGCTGGGAGCTGGGTTCAGGCCAGATCCACTGGGTTTTCTCCTTTTTACTTGGCCTGCTGATGCTTGGGGCATGTTCTTCGGATGGCAGATGGCCGAAGCGTTGGAGACCGAGCCGAATTATGTAAGCACAGTCCCATTCCATTGGCCCGAGCAAGTCATGGGGCCAGGCCCAGCCTCCCGGGTCAGGGAAGGATGTTTCCCCTACGGAGAGGCTATGGCCAAGTCCTGTGGCTAAAGGTGTGGATATAGAATTCTTTTTTTTTTTAAATTATAATTAAATTTTTTATTTTAATTCCAGTGTAGTTAACATAGTATTATAGTAGTTTCCGGTGTACAATATAGTGATGCAACAATTCTATACAGTGCTCAGGGCTCATCATGGTAAGTGTGCTTGCTCTTGAGTCCCTGGTGGATAAAGAAGATGTGGGTGTGGAATTCTGTAATGAGCAGGGAGGGAGTGGAGAGTCGAGACATTCCTCCAGTCTTCCACAGTAGGGAGTGGTATGCTCACATATATGGGGGGTCGCATTGACGGTGCCCTTCCTAACTCCATCACCGTCCTCGTTGACGGTGAGAGTAGTTCTCCTCCCGCCACCTCGGGGTAGCCCCCTGAAACCTCCAGCCCTTCCCCAGCTCCAGCTCCCACGGGGCTTGGGGACTGAGTGATCATCTTGATCAGAATTTTTAGAATTTTTGAAGGAAGGACGGAGCCTTCTGGATGGTCCTCGAGGCTGTGGAATCCTATTGGTATTTAGCGTGTTGCACCTGCTAAGCCCGAGCCTCGCCAACAGGCCAAGGATGATCTGGAGCCCATCACCCTCCTCTGCCCCCTCCCTGCCTTCCAGCCCCGAGCCTGGCTCAGCCCAGGCAGCTGCCGCAGGAGCGTCTGGAAGGCAGACAGATAGCGCCGTGCCAAAGGAGTCCTTAGCGCTGCTGGTCTTTGGGCCCAGAGGACTAGCTGGTGGCCTTCCTTCCTTCCTTCCAGGGTTTTCGCAGGCAGCGCCCCTGCACCGGCTTTGAGTGTTTCATCTCCTTGCTCCACAGTATTGACGCCTTGCAGATCCTCCGGGGAGAGCTGAAACATCACCTTGCTGCTGGGGCTTCAGCCAAGAGTTTCTGGATTGGTACTTTCTTTGCCCACTCTCCTGCTCTGTGGTCCCACTGACGGGCATCTCCTTGGCAGCTGGGATGAGACCTGGTGGGTGGGAGTGGCGCCTCCCAGCACAGCCCCTGGCTTCGAGTGCATGTTCCTCAGACTGGAGAGGAGAGGAATTGGGGTTGGGAAGGCTCTCTTGCTGCAGGGACACCCCGGCTCCCATGACAGGCTGGGGGAGTTGTGGACACATTGTCATGGTAGACAATGATTTCAGAGGGGGATGGTGCAGAGCACGGACCCGCCCTCCTCCAGGCTCAGGTGGGAGCATGCCAACCCCCCTCCACCTGAGACACCCTACCCGTTCCCTGTCCAGACGGCTCTGGAGGGCGTGGGCTGGCCACGGCACCAACGCTAACATGGACGGAGGGTCCGGCCTCCATTTAGAGATAAAGTAGGGGGTGGGGGATGGGCAGGAAGGAGGCCACTGGTTGTGATGAGCACGGGGTGTTGTATGGAAGGGATGAACCGCTGAATTCTACTCCTGAGACTAGTGTTACACTGTATGTTAGCTACCTGGCATTTCAATAGAGACTTGAAACTACAACAACAGAAAAGATAGGTAGGCTACTTATAATGGAATATTAGCCAGCCTTATAGAGGAAGGAAATGCTGGCAGGAGCTACAGCATGGACAAACCTCGAGGACTTTAAGCTAAATGACAGAAGCCAGGTGCAAAGGGATAAACACGTAATGACCGCAGTCACAGGAAGTGACCTAGAGCAGTCAGGGTCACAGAGGCAGAAAGGACAGTGGTGGTTGCCAGGGGCTGGAGGAGGAGGAGGAGACAGCAGTTAGTGTTTAATGGGTACTGAGTTGAAATTTCGCCCGTGAGAGTAGGAGAAAGACCCCGGCGGGCACACCAGCCTGTGGCCAGGGCAGCACAGCCAGCCAGAGAGGGAGCTCTGGGTGCCCGGCCCCGCCTCTCATCTTGGACATGGAGCAGGTCGCAGCCTGAGTCAATGCCACCCTGCGGTGCAGAGATGGTAAGGTGATCACCTCAAGGGGCGGGTGTGAAGATGAGTTGAGCTCATGCTCCCAGCATGGTGCTGGGCTGCAGGGCAGAATTAAATATATACAAAAGTGATGCAGAATCAGTGCCACCACGTGGGCCCTGTAAGAAGAGTTCACTCTGTCCGCTGTGGGAGTGACCACAACGTTTCAGGATGCTCCTTGAAGTAGGTGCTCTTTGTGTGAAGGGTAGAGAAGGATTTCAACAGGAGGTCTCGAGGTGGGGCTGGCATTTCTGGTGGAAGTTACAGCTTGAGTAGCAATCTGCAGGTGGGGGGAGGTCTGACCTCTTCTGAGAACTTGCAACAAAGCTCATGTTGCTGGAGTGGAGGACTGAAGATAATCAGTGGGTTCATTGCTTTGCAAATCACAGAAACTCAGCTCAAAGGGAATGTTTTGCTCATGTTATCAGAAGAGTGTGGAAGATGAGCTTCAGGCACAGCTGGATCCAGGATTCACTCTTCCTTATTCCATCTCCTCGTCCTGCTTTCCTTGCACTGGCTTCCTTCTGAGATAAATGAATAACTCGGGGCTTCCTTCCCTCCTGCTTCAACCTTAGTTGGGGAAGAACATTTTGTTCCCAGTAATCCCAACCCAAGTCCCAGGGCTGACCCTGATTGACCCAGCTTCCATGTCAAGCCATCCCTGAGCCATGCCAAGCTCAGAGCTATTGTCTGAATTGGGGCTTGGGCCCACCCCTAGATCTCGCGAGTGGGAAGGTGTCAGCCCTGCCTGGACAACACAGCCGCGAGTGGGGAGATGGACAGTTCCTCAAAGGAAAGCCAGGATGATGTTTCCAGAAGGAGGGATAAGAATGTTAAGCAGGCAAAAACACCAGACATCCTCTGTAGGTAGCAAGAGCTAAGGCTGCAAAGATAAGCCCTCCTCTAATTCATACTGCCACCCCCCCCAACTTTTCCTGCCTCTCCCTCTTAGATCCAACAAGATGTACTCATTCGCGCCTCGTTGGTTCCTCTCTGCACATGTTCCCAACCTCCCTGGATGCGGGGCGTAATCTGGTCCCCATGAGAGATGCCAGCAACACCTTCTGGCAACACAGCATCTGCCAGGGACCACCCCCACTCTCACCGTGGCTACGTTATTGGAGTCAATGGGGACGGGTGGCTGGGGGTGCGTGGGTCACAGGCTGACCCTTTCCTCTAGTCCCTCCAGCCTCCCCCTCCTGCCTGTGAGATCCTCAGCCTTCTGGGAGAGCATGCGACGTTCTGGCCCAAACCCACCTCCATCAGGTTTTTGAGCACAATCCCAGCAGGCTCTTGCGGGTGCTGCTGATATGCCGGCACCAAATATAGAACAGGCCCAGCCAACCCCACCCTTAATTCTGTAATTTGCTCGAAATCAGATGAGAACACTAGCCTGGGGAGACATTTTGTGATAACCCAGCCCGGCCCTGCTGGGTTTGCTCCAAGATGACATCAGTGGAGAGAAGCGTGCCTGTGGCTTCAGCCCCCTTCCCCGCATCATGTTCCCTTTTTAGCCTTCATTCCTGGTCCCAGTGGCCATCTGCTGCTGCCATCTCTCTCCCCTCCCCCAGCAAGTGCCTGAAAAACTCACTGGGGCCTGGAGGAAATGGGCCATTTACTCATTCATTCACCCTACAGATCATTGTTGAGCTGGGACTGTGGGTGCAGACACCGTGAGGTACTGGGGACAGGGACAGGGCGTCGCAGGCTGGCCCAGGGCACCCAGACTGCAGTCTCGGCGGGGAGGGGAGGCCAGCATGGCTCTCGGGAGGATCTGAGGCTTCAGGGACAAGCCTCTCAGGGCAGCAGGGCCAGGAGGGGTGTCGGGCACTACTTGGGGTGCGGTGGGGGGAATAGGGCCTCCGGGAGGAGGAGAGAGCTGCCCCAGGCGAGCTGCTGGGTGTGCAGAGCTCTTGAGAGACTTCTGACTCCTTGACCATGGTCATGGGCTCCTGTCCTGTCCGGAGGCTGAAGGTCGGGGTCGGAAATGGCCATTTCTCTCAGGGGAGGTGTGAGCACGCGGGTGCTTCAGACCTTCCTTCTCTGCCTCCCCCCCACTTCCTGGAATAGTCTCTGTTCATCTCCATGGCACAGATGGTTTCAGCACCCGCTAACTTGGGGATGGGGGCCAATCGCTGGGGTACAGCGGTGAGCCAAAGCTACCCTGCAGACAGAAACGGAAGCATTCACAAGAAAATGTTGAATGGTAACTGCCCGTCATGAAGGCAAGGGCCAAGGGGGTGAGGAATAGCCGTGGAGCCGGCTGACTCCTGGGCGGGCGGAGGCGACCCCCAGCAGGAAGGCTGGGGGAAGGAGGAAAAGGGGAAGAGGGGGCCAGAGCACCGCAAGGGCCACGGGGGGTCAGATAGGAAGGGGCCAGCGTGATGCTGGTGGAGCTGGGAAGTGGGTGGGCCCGGCCGTGGGCCCTTGAACTTCATGAGGAGCAAGGAGGCAGCTCCCGGGCACCAGGATCTGAGGTCGCACTGTCAGCCTGGCTCAAGGCCTGCACACGCCAAACCCTGAACCCCATTACACTTGGGTTTCAGATCAACAATGAATCATTTTTTCGTATGAGTATGTCCTAGCTTCTCCACGCTTAGACTAAAAAAAATGATCTGCTGCTTCTCTGAAATGTAACCAGGTGTCCTATTCTGGTTTTTGTTTCTTTGCTACCCCAGGCAACCTTTGGTGGGGAGGTGGAGACCGCTCCTGCTCCTCCTTGGGGTTGTCATTTTCACCTCTCAGGCTGATGAGCCAGACGACTAAGACGGCCTGTCTGTTGCCACCCTTGTCTTCTGCCCTGCCCCCCTTCATCCTGCTCCCCGGGCTTCCCATGGAGGGAGCCACGGGGAGGAGGCAGGCCAAAGGGCCTCCTGAAGTCATAGTCAGGAGCAGAGAGATAGTTGGGACCTGCCCGTTTTAGGGCCCAAATTGGTTCCCTCAGTCCAGCCTGTGAGCCTTTGCCTGGGTCGTTCCCTCCTCTTGGCCCTTTGTCCTCACTGCACCTGCTGGTGGGAGGCCCAGCTCGTCCCCACCGTGAGACTGTGGTGACGGTCAGCTGCTAATCACACTTCCTGTGTGATTGTCCCTGTCCCCTGTGGGGTGGGCTCCGGTCTTGTCCTTGTACAGATGGGGAAGCTGAGGTGCAGGGAGACTGGGTGACAAGGATGCAGACTCTGGCCCCGGCCGTGGGACTGCCCCGCCCTCCTCACCCCCAGAGGGCCTGGGCAGTGCTAAGCTCAGTGGCTTGGACTATTCCTACCAATGACAGTTTCAGGCCACACGGACCCCATACTCCCCCCTCCCTACCTTTCGCTTTCCAATTATAAAACCCCGCTTCCTGCTTTAACCAGCAGGAAAGCAAGGTTTCCTGTTTCCTTTTAAAATGTCCAACTTGATTTTTTGTTGACTCCTGGTTCCTGAGGCAGGACCCATAAAGAATTCTTGATTTAAAAAAAAAAAAATAGTCTGCTGTCTCCTGGGCTTCGGGGTTTTTATCATCTTGAGCCATTCAGGCTGCTTGGCCTGTGACTAGCACACCCCCATGGATCCCGGTCCTCCCTCCCTGGCCCATGACAGGGCCTCTGCCTTTGCTCATCCGTAGTCCCAGCCAGTGCCAAGCGCCACCTGGAGTTGGGCATCTCAGACTCTCCGGGGTTAATCAGGCTGATTGGTTTTAATCAGTTCCCTGCTGCCAAGAAAACACCAGGGAGCCAAGTGGGGGTGGATAGGGGAGAAAGTCTGATTCAGGGGGCACGGACTTGCTGTGTGTGCATTGCTGAACGCTTACCCTCTCTGGGCCTGTCTCCTCATTCATGTAAATGGGAGGGGGACAATGTGATTCTGTGATAATAGAGGCATTCATTCATGAGGCTTTTCTGAGCACTTACTATGTGTGCTAGAAAATGTTTTCAGCCCTGGGAGATATCCATGGACAAAAGGGACAAGGCTCTGCCATCATAGACTTATATTCTTTGGGGCGAGACTGAGGCTCTGGCCCTGAGGCTTGGGCCCTGTTCTGCCCATGGGGGAAACCACTAGGACGGGTGTCTATTTAAATGCAAAGGAAGTAAAATGAAATAAAGTTGAAAATTCAGTTCCAGGGCACCTGGGTGGCTCAGTCAGTTGAGCGTGTGACTCCTGGTTTCGGCTCAGGTCATGTCTCATGGTCATGAGATCCAGCCCCGCTTCGGGCTCCATGGTCAGCAGGGAATCTGCTGGAGAGTCTCTCTCTCCCTCTGCCCTTCTCCCCATTCATGCTCTCTTTCTCTCTCTTCCAAATAAATAATCTAAAAACAAAAAAGAAAATCCAGCTCCTCTGTTACGATGGCCACATTTCAAGCGCACAAGCACCCTAAGTGGCCCGCACCTGCACACTGAGTCGTGCTGGTGATGGCTCATACCCACCATCACAGGGGGTTCTGCTGGGCGGCGCTGCTGGGGACTGACATGGCCCATGCCCTCAGAGGGAGTGAGGACTGCTGGAGCGGACCGAGCCATGCTTTTGGAGAAACAATAGTCAGGGAAGGAAATATCTGAGCCCAGGTCAGGCCGCGGTGCAGAGTCCTCCCTTGGGAAATCTGAGGGATGATTCTTCCCGACAGAGGGAACAGCGAATGCAAAGGCCCTCGGCTGGGAGTGCGATTGCCCACTGGAGGAGAAGGGAGGCCCTTGCAGCTAGAGTGCATTAACCTGGAGAAGAGTGATAGGAAGGGAGACCTGTCAGGGGTTTGGGGCCAAATCGTTTGGGGCTCTGCTGGCCAGGGGAAAGACTTTGGTGTGATGGGAAATCATTAGCAGGTTTCCAGCTGGGGAGCGCCATGGTCTGGTTCACATGTTAACAGGACCATCCTGGTGGCTGTGTGGAGTCAAAGGTCAGGGGAGGAAGCCAGAGGCCAGTTAGGAGGCTGATAATCCTGATAATTATCACCAGACAGTAGCCATGGAGGCGGTCGGATTCTGGAAATGCTGTGAAGTAGAGCATCAGTCTT